GGGGGGGGGAGGGACTTTTTGAGGCAGGGGTATCTGATATAGCAGGTCTTCTCTGGTTCTATTTTTTTGCGAGAAAATTTCCAATATATTCATCTTCAATCATGGTAGTACAACGAACACGAGAAATTACAGCTAGATCCGTAAACCATCTATCAACAATTACAAGCACTGAAGCAAGTCGAAGATGTGCCGCCGTCATTGCCCCTCCCTTGCTGAAGCAGGTCTTCTCTGGTTCAATATCTATTTTGAGGGTAAATTTCATGTCTATCACGTTATGCAAGAGAGCTAGCTAGGAGTATCCAATCCAAGTGGACATTACTAGTTGTTTAGGCAGGGTGTCATAGCTAACGATGCATAGTTTGACCGATGGTCTGATTTGTGGGATCTGCTAGAGATGTTCTTAGCTACAACTTCATCACGAGCGATGACGACCTACACTTGAATTGGCCGCAGGTTCTAATATACCTTGGAAGATCAATCCACGCCCACGGAGATTCAAAAAGCTTAATAGGCAGCTGCATGCTGGCAAGAACCCGCTTACTTTGATCCAATTCTAGGTCAATCACTTACTCCCTAAAGTTAGTATAAAATTGGGTCATCTATTTTGGAACGGAGAGACTATATATGATTAGATGATGCTTAATTGCCAAACACACCCATGTGAGTCAGAGTAGCTACTGGTTGACTTGAATGGACCACCAGGTCACCTAAATTGGCAGGAGGCAAGAAACGAAGCCCGTCGGATATTGCAAGATCTCATTTCACTCAAATTAGCTTCATATTGACTGCAGCTGCACAAATTAATCAGAAAACAGGCAGGCAGGCAGGCAGGCACCCACGGTTGCAACTTGCAAGTGTATACATATATGGGTATGGCGCGAGTCTCTCCATAACCAGCATCATCATCATCTCACTCGCCATTCATTCCGAAATTAAGATAAGAAGATGCGCGCCTCATCACTCGGACGCTGCGCCACCGTGGCACTCGCCGTGCTCCTCGCCGCAGTAGCGGCTGCGGCTCCGGCAGCACGGACGAAGAACGAATGCCACGCCGGCGACAAGGCGGCGCTGCTGGCCATCAAGGCGGGCTTCGGCAACGCCTCCTACTTCCAGTCGTGGACTCCGGACAACCCCTGCTGCGAGTGGATCAGCGTCTTCTGCGACCTCTCCGCCTCCCCGTACACCTTACGCCGCGTGGTGGCCGTCTCCTTCCTCCGCGACGCCAGCCTCGTGGGGCCCTTGCCCGGCGCCTCCGTCGCCCGCCTCACCGCGCTGCAGCAGCTCGTCCTCATCCACGTGCCGGGCGTGAACGGCACGCTCCCGCGCGACCTCGCCCGGCTTTCCAACCTCAACTTCATCGACGTCTCCTACACGGGCATATCCGGCCCCGTGCCTCCGTTCCTGTCGAGGCTCACCAAGCTCACCTACCTCAGGCTCTCCTTCAACTCGCTCACGGGCCCCATCCCGGCGTCGCTCGCCGACGTCCCCAACCTCTCCTTCCTCGACCTCGGCGGCAACCGCCTCAAGGGGACCATACCGCATCTCCTCCTCGGCAGGACCAACGACACGGCCTACCTCAGCCTCTCCCACAACAACCTCACCGGCGGCGTCCCCGCCGACTTGGCCGCCGTGAGGTTCTCAAGCCTCGACCTGTCGCACAACGCCCTCGCCGGCGAGGCCTCGGTCCTGTTCGGCCTGAACAAGTCGCTGGAGAAGCTGGACCTGTCGCGCAACTCCTTCAGCTTCAACCTCTCTGCAGTGACGCTGCCGTCGCAGCTCGGCATGCTGGACATCAGCCACAACGACGTCTACGGTGTGCTGCCCCCGCAGGTGGCCACGCTGCAGTACTTGAACGTCAGCTACAACCGCCTCAGCGGCAGAGTGCCCATCGGCGGCAACATGGATCGGTTTGATCAGTACTGCTTCCAGCACAACAAGGGACTGTGTGGGACTCCACTTCCTCCCTGCAAGTGATCGTCGTCTCAAGCGACTAGCTCCTCCAGCCGTAATCTAACGGATGATTATTAATTACAACTTCTTTAAGAAATAATAAAAGCATCCCTCTTCAGTACAGTAATGCTTCTTACTGTGCTCAAGTGTGCATCTTCACATATATTTCATTACAGTTTTGCTAAGTCACAGTCGTCTGAGACTTCGTTATGTCTCAGTCGATATTATCTTCTTTTGATTTTGCATGAAGATTTATGCAAAATTTTGTTTTGAGTTTTTCCTTTTTCTTCTTACATTGCTATATCACTTGACTGAGACTTGGTTAAGTCTTAAAGCATCTCCAGCCGCGCCCCGAACAGGCCTCTCAGGCCACTTTTTCGGCGCCGGCGCCAAAAAACGTCCTAGTCGCGTCCCAGAACATCGAAAAGCGCCGGTTCGGCCCGTTTTTGGGCCCGGCGGTCGCAGGCCGAACCCGGGCACTGGGGGCGATCGGGGGCTCCGGCGTAAGGGAAAAGCGCGGCTGGCCCACCCCGTCAGGTGAAAAGTCAAGTCTTTCTTCCCCGACTCGCCTCCCACCCCCCGCGCCCTCGGCCGCCACTAGCTGTATCCCGGCGCCGCCCGCCGCCCTTCGCCACTAGATAGCCAATCCTCGCCAGAAAATAGCAGAGGTTCGCCGAGGCAGCCCCTTCACCTGCAGCTGGGCGCTTCCGGCCAGGCTGTTTCTGGCCGCGGAGGGGCAATTTAGCGGCGGGTACATGCCCGCCGGCGTGCAAGGTGTTCGACGATTTGCCTGCCTCGGCGAGATGGACTCAAATGATGAGGAAGTGCTCGTCGCGTTGTTGGAGGAGGAAGTCGAAGCCGACGTCCAGGAGGAAGAGCATCTCATGGTGCTCGCCACCCTCGCCCAGCTGCTGGCGAGCAATGAAAAGCTGCGGCGAGGTGGCTTGGCGCCGGGGCGGGTGAAAGCAAAGAACCGGCATCGTCTCGAAGGCTACTGCATGCTTTACTCCGACTACTTCACCGACGCTCCACTGCACGGCGACAAAACATTTCGGCGCCGTTATCGGATGAGCCGAAAGCTTTTCCTCAGGATTGTGAACTCCATCCGGGAGTTCGACAGCTACTTCAAGTGCAAGAAAGATTGCACCGGCAAACTTGGATTCACCTCGATCCAGAAGTGCACGACAGCGATGAGGATGCTTGCATACGGAGCTCCCGGTGATTCACTCGATGACTATGGGCGCATGGCCGAGTCCACCAGCATTGAGTGTTTCTGCAAGTTCTGTCGGGCAGTGGTGGCAGTGTTTGGACCGCAATACTTGTGAACACCCAATGCGGAAGACACTGCTCGAATCCTAGCACATAATGCAGCAAGAGGATTTCTTGGGATGCTTGGAAGCATCGACTGCATGCATTGGAAATGGAAGAACTGCCTATTTGCTTGGCAGGGGATGTACAAAGGCGCCAAAGGCGGTTGCAGTGTGGTACTTGAGGTGGTGGCCACACATGATCTCTGGATTTGGCACTCCTTTGGTATGCAAGGAACTCACAATGACATCAACGTGCTGCAGTGCTCCCCTGTCTTTGCCAAGCTTGTTGAAGGTCGTTCTCCTCCGGTGAACTTCGAGGTCAATGGGCGACACTACAACAAGGGGTACTACCTAGCTGATGGCATCTATCCGAGATGGTCTACATTTGTGAAGACTATCTCAAACGATGTGCCAGGAAGCAAGAAGTCCTACTTTGCCAAGTGTCAAGAGGCTTGCAGGAAGGATGTCGAGCGGGCTTTTGGTGTGCTCCAATTTCGATTTGCTGTTGTCCGCTACCCTGCTCAGACCTGGTTGAAAGATCAAATGTGGGAGATCATGACTTGCCGTGTCATTTTGCACAACATGATCATCGAGAGCGAGCAGGAAGAGCCAGTGTTTGACACTGAACCATACTACAGGCAGGGTCCTCTAACCGAAGTTGATCACCAGCTACCGGTAACCTGGATTGCCTACCTCAGTATGCGTCAGGAGGTCCGAGACCCACAGGTGCATCATCAACTGTAGCAGGATCTGGTGGAGCACCTATGGAGGCTCAAGGGCGACGTCGGGCTCGACGTGTGATGAAATATGAGTTTTTATTTGTTGAACAATATAATTTGTATTGAACTATTTGTTGTTGCACTATTTTGTTGAATTATTTGATTTTCTATGATGAACTATGTGATAAAAAAAATATTTATGTTTATAATTGAACGCCGAGCCACGGTGAACCACGTCGAATATGGGTCGATTATCGCCCATACGGGGCCTTTTATTCGCCGAAAGTGGCCCAAAAACTGGGCCAATCTCGGCGCCTGGGGGCGACGACTGAATGCCCAATCGCTCCCAGCG